CCCAAGACAGCCCCAGGGTGATTTAAAGCCAACGGGGCTGGGACTTGAACCACAGTTGACTGCATGGGAGTCCAGTGATGTAGCCATTATGCTAGCTGCTGGTCCCCTATTTTAAATTTTTGAAAAATAAATAATGTTGGCAAAAACCCTGAGCCTTGCTTTCCTTCAAACTGTAATAATGTGCTTGTTGACTGACACACAGAACCAGTGTGCTAAACAGACTAATAGCCCCCTGAAATGATTATATCTTCATCCTCAAAACTTGCAAATAAAGTACATGGCACAAGGCAGCTGGGATTACCCTTGAAGAGAGCAGAGTACCTTAGTTTAGGCAGTAGGTCCAATTTAATCAACCCTTAAAGTCAAAGAATCTTTCCTATAGTTCCTAGAGCTGTAACTATGGAAGAATGATCAGAGATGGAAGGTTGCTGGATCTGACGATGGAGGAAGGAACCATGAACTGGGAGATGTGGATGGCCCCTAGAAGCTGGAAAAGTGAAGAAAAGCGAAGGCTTCCTTAGAGCCTCCAGGAAGGAGTACAGCCTTACTGTACTTAAATTTAGTCCCTCTACACCTGTGTCAGACTTGCAAAACTGTAAGGTAAAAAAATTCATATTGTTTAAGCCACCAAGTGAGTGGCAACAGGAAACTAATATAACCAAAGTAATAATAGATCAAGCACTATGTGTATAATGGCATCATTAGCATAAGCCCCAAATTAGAAGCAACTTAAAAGTCCTTCCAGGGATCAGCAGATGGCATAATGGTTACCACGCTGGACTCCCACGTAGTTGACCATGGTTTGGGTCTTGGACCTAGCAGCTTAAAACTCATACTAGGCACATATATGTGTCCAAGATTTTGAGAGGAGAATGAAAGAGAAGGGATTGTGGAGTGGCCACCCCCTCCAGAGGGTTATTTCTCACTTTTTATCTCTGTCTCTCCAGTGAGTGCACGTGCCCTGTAGTAAAAATCTCTCTAAAAAAAAAAAATAAATAATAAATAACTAAAAGTCCTTCCAGAGGTGATAATTCCCTGCATACTGGCCACAAGAGTATACATAAACAGATGTGAAAACTCATCAAGGTAAAATGTACGATAGAAATACTATTGGGTCATTGGAAAAGTCATGACATGTTTTTCTATGCAAAAATGCATCATGACTGTTCTAACAACCCAATATATATAAAAATACATATGTATATGCATAATTATAATTTATTTAATTTATTAGCCAAAGGCTAGCTCTCTGTGTGACCATTGGTAGGTCCTTCCTCTCCTTGGATGTTAATTTTCCCTTCTAAAACTAAGGATGTTGGGTCCAGGAGGTGGCATTGCTGGTTAAGTTGCTGGACTCCCACATGACTGATTCTGCTTGGAGTCCCAGACCTTGTGGTTTGCTTTCTCACTCTCCCTCTCTTTCTCTCTCTTTCTCTGTCTCTCTCTGGTGAGCTCACATGTCCTACTGTAAAATGTAAAAAACATACTAATAAATGAAATTAAATAAATAATCCTAATAAACAAACAATTAAGGATCTTGGTCTATATATTACCAAGAAGGCTATCTTCCAATTCAAAAATTCTAATTCTATAACAATATGATATTCTTCCTCCAAGTTTCCCACTCTCACGAAGACATTCCCTGAGTCTTCTCTGGCTACAGGATGCACATGTCTGCTGTTGACACATGTCATATGTGCTGTTGACACATATGTCAAATCAAATGTCAACCTTGTAGAATTTTCAACCTTAAAAATTAAGGAAAGAATCATTGCCAAACTAACAATAACAAAAAATCATTGCAAGCTGAGGAGGAAATATGATATCTGTGGTCACCATCCTTTCTAAAGAAGTCATAAACAAAACTGAAGATGACAGAATTTTCCGGGAGCTCACCTGTGACCATCTACAAATGGAAAATGAAAAGGAAAGTTGTTAAAGCAAGGCTTGTTATATTGAGAATACGAGCAGATCGGTACAGATGGGAACATCACTGAACACGCACACATGCATGTTTTCAGGTCAGCTGAAGAGCCTCTGAAAATAGATCAGAAAGCAACACAGCTTGGTAGGGTGCATTTGAAAAGGCAGAATTTAAACTCATCCTCAATGAGAAAAAAAGGCTCACCATCATCTCTCTTCCCTAATAAGAAATGGCTTTGACATGATGATCATTTAGAAAACTAGAGGAGCCCATCCAAAGGTGAGAAACATGGCTCTGGGCAAACACATCAGCGAAGGAAGGGGTTCAAGTATTTCCTATGTATGCATGAGTCCAATCAATGCCTGCTTCAGATGCATTTTTTAAATTCATAGTGAAATTGCTTTTTTATAAAGTCCTTTCATACTAAAGCTACATTTATTTAATTTAAAGGCTCATGTTATTTTTTTGCTTGTTTTATTTTTTTGGTATTGGTGAAATTCCTTTCTTTTGCAGGAATGGTGAAAGTTAATGATAATTGGTTTTGCTCTCATTAATCTTCACTTAACAAAATAAACATAAAATCTGTCAACTTTCTATCAGTTCAATTTTTAAAAAATTGAAATGATTTTGGTTCATAAAATCCAAAAGACTCAGGGGCCTGGCTTATTGGGAGATACTTGGATGTTGTCACTTTGTTGGTCCTCATAACAGCTTCATTGCCAAGGGCCTGTTCAAAGCAAGCGTTTTACATTTATTATCATAATTATCCCCCAAATCCTGCAAGGCATGCATTGCCATTTATTACAAACAGGGAATACTGAAGCTTATAGAAGTTAAGGGACAAGCTCAAGGTCAAATAAGCTATTAAAATGGACACCCCCAAGGGCTCTGTCCTTTCTCAAAGGCAATATGGTCTCTGATATCTAATCACAAAACTATGGAAATCTCAGTGGTGAAAACTGGCAAAGCTCTTCCCTGACTTCAAAGGGACACAAAGACAATCAACAGTCATACATTTATCCTCACAGGCAACCCCCATGACTAAAATCTAAAATGTTAACATTTCCCCCAAAACAGTTTTAAAAAAAGTTGTAAGTGATTTTAAATGTTTATATGTCTTAATGTGGCTCAATCCATCAGAATACACCATAGCATTTTTGGAGATAATCCATTTTGGAAGAGCTAGAAAAACAGTTGGCAGCATTTTGTGCATTTTATTTTAATTTAGAGGGGGGACATTTGAGATCTGCAATTAAAACAAGGTTTGGTTTGGCTGTGATGAACTGATGTAATTCACAATTTAAACTCATTTGAGGAAAATAACAACAGTCACAGTAGTCACATTTGCCAAGGAGTAGAAATCAGATAAACAACAACCCGGCTGGGGTGGGGGAACAGCCCATTGACAGTACCACAGATTATACAGACTAGTCATTAAAAGCGGGCCAAGGAAGTGTCCATGGACAATCATTTGATATTTTATGAAATAAAATGGAGAGTTTGCTTAGTGATATTTTCAAAGGATTTCATCCCGGAAGCCCTGATAACAGCATCCCATGCACAGCTGCAACCTAATGATGGGTGGAGTACTGAAAGAAGAAAATTCTGTACATTGAATTGTTCAACTAAGGATGTAAACTGGAGCCCTGTGGGGCATGAAATATATGGAACTAGTAATCCTAGAGGAAATCCTTCCATTCAGTCCTTTTACTGAAGAAAACTCAGAAATCTCACAGCTTGAGATTTTAAATCCTGGGAAAATTATAAGTGGTTGGAATTACTTAGTGAATCATCCTAGGCCTACAAAACTAATATTTACCCATTGAGTTTTTTTCCAAGAAAGCCAATGTCTTTGTGAGGCTTTACTGCAATATCTTCTCTCTGAAAAATCTTCCTGCCTTGAAAATGAACAAGACAGTGCAGACGTGGTTTTCTTCCATGCTTTTGGGCCATGAAAAGGATAATGAAGTTTTTCTTCTCAGAGAATAAACTCCAATTATGGCTTAATACTTTTTTTTTTCATTAATTCAATCAGTACATATAGAGAGAATGATAGACTGAGATAGCAAACTGCTTTTACTTCTTGGAAGAGAGTTGAGTTTTCTCATTTGCAGGCCTTCTGCCATGAAGACTAGGACAAGAGGCTGAGGCCAGTTGCTACAAGAAAGGAAGCACGAATTATGTACAACCAGACCTTTCTACAATAGGAGGGAAACCAACAAGCCCTGATAGCAGGAGGACTCTTAAGGGAGGCAAAAAGGGGTGGAGGGCAATCTAAAGCCTTGTGCTTTCCCGGTCATGCCTCATATTGTAGGTACCACCTTTGGACATCAAGGTACCAGTAGAAACAAATTAGATAAAAGCAAAGCTAGCACTGGAGACTTTCACCCCAAACACCAGAATAACAGACAAGTTTTCAAAAAAAAGATTTCCCTGGAAAGGAGGGCCAGAGAAGATTGCAGAATAGCACTGTTCTGTAACACAGGGGCCAGAACCATGTTGTGGTGGTTGGTGTGCTGAACTCCCCACATAGCCGACCACAGTTTGAGTCATGGATCTAGTGGCTTGCTTTCTCATTTTCCCTTTTCTCTTTCTCTCTGGTGAGCACACATGCCCTGTAGCAAATTTAAAAATAATAATAATGATGATAAATGAAATGAAATTAAAATTTTTAAAAATCATAATGCAAGGGCGGAGAGGGTGTCAACAGATGACATGGAGGTTAATGTGGCTAGATCCACAAGGTCAATTCTGCTGCGTAAGTCCTAGACCCAGTGTCTTGAAAATCATGCTGGGGATGCCGGCAGGCAGAGTAAGTGGTTAAGGCACTGGATTCCCACATGACTGACTGCTTTTTTGAGTCCCAGACCCGGTGGCTTAAAACTCATGCTGGGTGCATGTGTTTGCATGCCCAGAATCTCAAGAGAATGGAGGAGAAGGGATTGTAGCGTGGCTATCCCCTCTGGAGCGATTTCACACTTTCTCTCTCTGTGTCTCTCTGTCTCTCTCTCTGTGTCTCTCTGTCTCTCTCTCTGTGTCTCTCTGTCTCTCTCTCTCTCTCTCTCTATATATATATATGTATTTCTCTATGATGCACACACCCTATAGCAAATCAAAAACAATAGTAAAACATAATATAAAGCACACAAGCAATTAAACATTTTCTGAATAAACATATATAAATAAATTTAAACAGTTTTACATTTATTTAAACAGTTTTAAATTTATTTAGATGCATATGAATTTAAATTTGTAAATAAACAGGTAAAATTAATTTTGGCATTTATTTAAAGCAATATAATCAAAATATTATTTCAGTACATAATCAATACACACATTAATCAGATATTTTACATCTTTGAAATCCAGTGTGTCTTTGCTTTACAGACCCTTTGTTTAGACTAACCACATTTCAATGGCTTAATATCTATATGTATTGGATATACATACTTTTTTTTACTATTTACTAATTATTATTACTGACACCTAATTGTATGTATTTATGGAATACAGTGTAATTTTTCAGTACAACAATATAATATGAAGTGATCAAATCAGATTAACTAGCGTACTCATCATGTAAACATTTGTCATTACTCTGTGTTAGGAATCTTCTAAGACCGCTCTTGTAGCTAATCTAAGATTTGCAGTAAATTATTGTTAATGATCATTATCCTACTATACTATATACTACTAGAACTTGTTCCTCTTAACTACCATTTGTTCCTCTTATCTATCTATAATTCTGTATCCATTAACCAACATCTCTTTATTCTTCTGACCTTTCCCAGCCTTTAGTAATCACCATTCTACTCTCTACTTCTACACGGTCATCTTTTTAGTCTCCACATATGAGTAAAATTATGTGGTATTTCTTTCTGTGCCTGTCTTAATTTGGTTAACATGATGTCATCCTGCTTGAGCATGTTGCCTCAGACAATGAGATTGCATTCTTTTTATTGGCTGACTAGTATTCCATGTTATATATACATATCACATTTTCTTTATCCATTCATCTGCTGATAGAAACCTACGTTGATCCCATATCTTGGCTAATATGAACAGTGCTGTAACTTAAACATTGGAGTGTACTGATGTACTTTCCTTTGGATATATGCCCAGCTTGGGATTGTTGGATAATGTGACAGTCCTGTTTTTTATTTTTTGGGGAACCTAAATGCTATTAACATTTTCCATAATGGCCAAAGTAATTTACAGTCCCACAAACAACAAAACAAACTGAGTTTAAACCTGGGCATTTGAAACCAGAAAAAAACAAATGACTTTGAATAGCTGAGTCTGTTTGCTTGCTTTCCTACTATACACCTGGACAATGGTTAAAGAGAGGGGAAATAACAATATTAGAAAATAAACAATAGTGGGGCTGACAGGTGGCATGGTGATTAAGGCACTGGACTCCCACACAGCTAACTGTGGTTTGAGTCCTGGACCTGGTGGCTTTCTTTTTTACTTTCCTATTCTCTCTTCAGTAAAATTTTTAAAAAATAATAATCAATTAAATTAAATAATTATTTTTGAAAAGAAAGAAAGAAAACAAACAGTAGCATCATGGGATAATTTGTGTGTTCTTTTGAGGTATCACATGGAAAATCCAGCCCTACTACACACAAGTTTATTGAGTGTCTACCTTATGAGAAGTCTTGCCTGAGTCTCAGAAAATGTAAAGATGAGTAAGACACCAAATTGTTCATAATGCTCAAGATAGGCCCATAATTTTAAAAATGAAGACATGTACTAATAGACTATAGAGATGAACGACATATGCTAATAGTCTATAGAAATAAAAGGTAACAGTGTGGGAACCCAGGAAAGGCAGTGATTCATTTTTCTGGAGTGTTCTTGGCCATAATCCCCATGAGAGTAGGAACCCCATGGTCCTACTTACAACTTAACAATATCCAACACAGGTTTAAATAGGAGTTTGTTGAGCGAATGGGTGAATGTGTGTGTAAGTGAGTGCTTGTTGGAGAGAACCAGGTGAAGAGAGATCACACCTATGACCTAGTGTCCAAATTTGTTTTTGAAAAATGAACCAACCTTCAGCTAGCATAGTAGAACACTTGAGAGCAAATTATCTGAATGTCTTGGAAGGTGGGTATTTAAGGCACATTTAGTCAATGAGATTTGATCTTATGAGGCAGGAGTGTAGGTGGAGACACTCCTACATAAGGAGATAAGATGGGAAAGTTAGGTTGAGGCCAGATGGTAAAAAAAATGTGGAAGGGTTTTTATGAATTATTTGCAGGATTAGTCTATTCTAGCCACCTGCTGATAGCACTACTGTGTGGTAAAAAATCCTGCAGTGCTAAAACAGACTTTTGCAGCATATTGATCTCCTGTTTTTAGAGCTTTCAGAAAGCAATCAACCCTCAGACAGCCAAATGGTGGTAAATGACAGTATACATTTTTTTACAGCCTACCGTACCTTGCTATTGAATTTTCCCCATCTCATTTAAATTTTTCCCCCACCTGAATAAAGTTACCAAGAGAACAATATAAGCAGTGAATAAAATGAAAATGTACTGGGTTACATTTCACCCCACAATAATAGGATGAGTTTTTTTTTTTTTTTAAATGAAGAGAGGAGTGAAAATTTTTGCTTACTGTTATCATCAAGCATCCCTTCAAGGATTTCATATCTCCTGAAATAGGATCATATACACTACCAAAGTGATGATATTAATGTATAAATCCCAGGAATACATCTGGAAATGTCTTTGCTATAAAAAAGTAGAATGTTCCTGACTAATGTGGTACTTTATAAATTTGATGTGCATATGGCAATAGCAAGTTTAGAGAGTGGCAATAAACAAAAAAAAAAAAAAAGAAAAAGAAAAAAGGGAGAATAGTTTATGAAGCTTATAAAGTCTTTTATTTCTAGCATTTGGGTAAATGGAAATTTGATTATGGGCAACACAATTGAGTTCATGTTAAAATAGAGGTGGTCTGGTGTTATGGTTAATAAAATGAGCATCAAAGTCAGGTAAGCAAGTGTTGTAGTATTGGTTCCTTTTTTTTACTAGGAAGTGACTTACCTGATCCTTGTATTTTTCACCTCTAATATGTATAAGAGGGTAATAAACCTAATTCTAATGGTTGATGTGAACAATAAGTTAGATGTTAAAGAAGTGCCTGATACATGGTAAGAAGTCAATAACTATTGTTTTATCATTTGTTCACTGGAAAATAATTGAACATCTATTATGTGCTAGGTTTTCAAAATTCCAAGGTTAAAAATACATGACTTTAAAAATTTACTTTCAAGAGACCAGTAGATGGTATAATGGTTACGTCGCTGGACTCCCATGTAGTCAACGTCTAGTCTTGGACCTGGTGCCTTAAAACACATGCAAGGCATGTGTGCATGTGTGCCCCAAATCCTGAGACAAAAATGGAAGAGAAGGGATTGTGGCATGGCCATCCCCCTTGTGGGGTAATTTCTTGCTTTCTGTCTCTCTAGTGAGCACACACACCATGTAGCAAAAATTTCTCTAAGAAAAAAAAGTTTACTGTCAAATGTAACAAATATTCACTATAAAAGCATGCATCATGACACAGACTTAATATATAAATACATATTTATAATGTATGTTCTATAGTAATGTCTTTCTCATTTTGTTTCATATAGCCCATGATTTCTCAACCTTGGTATGGTTGAGACTTAGAGTCATGGGGCTCAGCCTCCTGAATTTAAAAACCACAGGTCTGATGAATGAATGCAAATGCATACAGTGACATTATAGACCACTCGTCATGTGAGAACCGTCTCCTTTTTTAGTCCTTTCTTCCTCTCAGCCTCGACAATCAAACCATGTAACTTGCCCTTGCCTTTATCTGGCCTGCTCACTTTGTCCTGAATGATTTAGCTCATTATCTTTCCTCTATCCCTGAATGTCCTTTCTACTGATTTTTACAGTCAGAAGCTTAATTATTCTTCAAGTAGGAGCTCAAACTCTATCTTCGTAGGCTTTAAAAAACAAACAAACAAACAAAGCAAGCCACCTTTTCAGGTATATCCTCTTCTATAAACCCATTAGCCATAGGAATCTTACAAGAATCTTAGACCTTTTCTCTTCATCCCACTCTCTGGGTAATCACATGTGTGATCATTGATTCAGCTAGACGTATATGCGTAGCCCAGCAGTGAGCATATATTTAATTGCTTTCATGGAAATTCCTTTTTGGACATTTCATAGGCATTTTACACTTAGCAAGACTGACTGACTTTTCTCCACTAACCTGAGATCTTTTCTCAGTGACAGTCATTGCCAGCCACCCATTTTGTTAACATGCCAGAAACCTAGGAGTCATTTTGGCATGCCCTTCCCTCTTAGTCCCTGGCTGAAAACATCACAAAAATGCAACCTTTTTAAGGAGGAAGATGGCTCCATCAGACCCACTCAAGAGAGAGGGCATTGGATTCTTGTGCTGCTCATTGAAAATTGTTGGAATTTTTATCTCCTCCTTCGGTGTTTTTGGAAGGCACCTCTGACCAACTGTGAGGCACTGACAGTTTGAATTTCCAAACCAGTCAGACTGAAAAGGGGAGTATCTTGGGCTGTAGTGATTCCGTAGATAAATGTCACTGTGTGAACATCTGTTTGAGTTGGCACCCACTACTCCAGGTCCCTTCCATTCTCTGTCTCTGTAAATCTAGCTGTATTAGTCAGAGATGACCAGATAAATGAAACCAATAAGAGATATAAACATAGATACTGATATGATAAGGAATTAGCTTACATGGTCATGGAGATGAATAAATCCAAGATCTGAAGCTGGGAAGTTGGAGACTTAGGAGAGCCAGTGGTATAGCTCCCATCAACTCCAAGTCCACAGACCAGAGAAGATTGATGTGCCTGCTTGAAAACTGTTAGAAAGAAATTTTTCTTACTCACTTTTCTATCCTTTTTTTTTTTATCATTTTTAAAATTATTTTAAATTCTTTTATTAATTAATTTTTAAGTTTGTTACAGGGTACATATGTGCACCAGAGAGAAAGAGAGAGGGAAAGTGACAAAGCAAACCACCAGGCCCAAGACTTAAACTGCAGACACCTGTGTGGGAGTCCAGCTGCTGACCCCACAGTCCTCTATTCAAGCCTTCAACAGATTAAATGAGGCTCACCACATTCCAGAGGGTAACTTGCTTTACTCAGTCTGCCATTCAAATGTTACTTTCACCCAGCAATACTCTCATAATAAACCAATAAATAATATTTAGCCAAATATACGGGCATTCTGTGGCCCAGTGAAAGTAACCATTACACTCACTAAAGGTTGCCATTTTCCTTGACCTTGGCTAGTTTTGCTGACTCGTCAGCTTCATTTTGCACCCTATACTGAGTGCAAGTCCACCAAAAGAGCACACTTCCCTTCCCTCTTAGTCTAACAGGGTCTGCATACTCCTGGCACCAAATGTTTAAGCATTACCCTTTTTCTGAAAAAGAGAAGACTGTCATAAAAAAAAAATGCAGCATCTCCAAAAACTGACTCTATTAAACACTACGGGGGCAGACAGGGGAGAAAATAAAGATTTCTTGACAATTAAATGTTATATGCTCCTGGACCAGCACAAGGCCTGGGAGTCAAGGAAGCTGTGTTCCTCATGCCAACTGTACAGAGTTCCCAGATCCAGTGACTTGAAAAATACAGCAGGCATGTGCCATGCCCAAAATCCCAAAAAGGGCAGTGCCCTCTGGCAATTTTTTAAAAAAAATTTTATATTTCTGTCTGCATTTTCTGTGCTGTAAAATGTATTATCACAAACCTATCAGCTTAAAACAATATCTGCTTATTATCTCCATTGGTCAGGAGTCCAAGCTTAATGCAGCTGGATCCTCTGCTCAAAAGTCTCACAGGGGTGAAAAAATGGTGGTGGTGAGCTCTGTTCTTTTGTGGAACTTAGGATTCTCTTCCTGGCTTTTATGGTTATTGACAGAATTCAGTTTCTGGTGGATACCGATCTGAGGTCTTTAGCAACTAGAGGCAGCCCCTCTCCACAACAATCACACTTTGCTGTTTATTCTTCAAGGTCAGCCCATTCCCTCTCGGAAGAACTTTTTCCTGATTAAGTCAGGCCCACCCAAGAGGAAAAATTCTTTTTGATAAACTCAAAGTCAACTAACTTGGGATCCTTTAGTTTTGCCAAATAATGTAGCTTAATCAGAATTTCACAGATCTTATCCTGACTCAAGGGGAAGAGATTATATAGGACACTGAGGCTTGGAGTTTTGAGATCTGTCATAATTGATTAGGTGTGTGAATTAGCATGTTACAGAATCAGAAAAATTTAGCAGGAAATAAGCCTGATGAACTTTATCTGATCTATTATCCCTCAAATTAATTTGGTTTATATGAAAATCCTATTTAAACATCTTTGAAATTACTGTTTTGTTTTTCCTATGTTTTGGGATACACTGGAACAGAAGAAGCCTGAACTGTGACGTTACACAGGCCGTGATCCAAATCTCCATCCTAATATTGCCCAAGAGGCTTCACAGTAGATAAATTCCTTCACCTCACATAGCCAGTGAGGACCATCAGTACCTGCTCCAAAATGCTGTTACTGCCAAGAAACTAAATAATGAACATGTTGGAATATGGCTGGCATGAGTTAGAGGTCCAATAAGGCCTAGTGGTTAAAGGAGACATATTCCCCATGCCTGATTACAGGGTTCAAATTCCAGCCTTGGTGGCTTGAAAAACATGCTAGATGCATGTGTGTGCCCCAAATATTGACAGGATGGTGAAATGGAAAAGGAGGGATTGCAGCATAACCATGCCTCCTTCTCTTCAGCTC